TCAAATAAACAAACAAATCTTAAAAAAATAAATAAAGGCCCTACCTTCAATAGAGTCACGTTCTGAGGTACAAGGGCTTAGGACTTCAACATATGAATTTTGGGGGAACACAATGCAACCCACCACACCATATTGTCCCTAATCGCTCCACAGCTTGCTAGAGTGCTTCAAATTCCACCCCAGGTTTTCCTTTACCACAGAGGAGAGCTCAGGCCTCTTCACCAATTGGCTCTCCAGGGTCTTCAGAGCTGACCACAGTGATCCTCCCCAGTGCCATCCTCTACCAGCCCTAAAATCAGTCTTACCACCCCCCAACACTGCTTGGGGTACTCTCCTGCTCCCTTGAAGGCCTGCCTCCCCACTCACCAAGGAAACCACAGGCTCCTGCACACTTCTGCTTTCACCACATATGTTTAAACCACATCAACTCTAAGTTCCTGGAAGTCAGGGGCATATTTTTCATGGCTTGTAGCCCCTCGGTTTCTTTTGAAACACCAAGTCTGAAGAATTTCCTAGGTATGAGTCCCATTATATGTAGGTCACAAGCATGTGACCTCAGTTCCACAATCAGACCCACTGAGGAGGACTCCCTTAAAGAGGATGCATGGGAACCACTTACATAGGGTTGAGGGCGGTGGCTAGGCAGTTTCTAGGACAAGGGTTTCTAGGTGCCAGTGTGCAGTGACTGAGACCAGTGACAGTGAGATCTACCTGGAGCCATCGGCAGTGGGGTTTGGGGTTTCCATCGGACAAACCAAGCCTGCATCTCTGGCCTTCCACAAAACCTGTGAGTTTCCTATTATGTTTCATAAGTTACTTTCCTGCTCACACAGACTAGAGGAGGTTCTGCTGTTTACAGCTGAGAACTCTGACTCAGACAGTCCTATTGATGTCCTTCCCACTGATTGGCACAGTGCCTGGCAGAGAGCAGTCACACAGGATAAAATCAGACCTGGGTTAATGCAGGTATTCCAGAACAGGAGAAAGATCCTGACCTTGTCACTCAGTGCCATGGTTAGAAAGAGCTCATCTGTCACTCATCAGGTGCTGGCAGGAAGGTGATTCTGCTTTCCCACCCCCTCACTCTCTGCCCCCCCATCCCCAGGAGCCTATGTGATGGGGAAAGGATGTTGTGAGCAGGCATGAGGGCTACTCACAGGGAGTGGGGAGAAAGGAAAACAAAATGAGCAGCCCTCCCCAGATGTCTTGCAGCCAGCTCTACCCAAACCTGCCAGATTGATTTTCGATGTTTGCTCCTATTTCAACTTCCATCTTTGTAGACTGAATGGGTCTTATTTTCCCCTTTATCTTAAAATGGATTTTAGATGCACACACACATGCCTCTCTTCCACCTGTCTCCCAGTCTGTCTGTTCCTCTAGATTGAACTCATGGCTGCCACTGATTCAACCTTGCTGGAGGTGGTCTGCACATACACGTGTGGGTGCATGCTTTGTGGAACACAATTCATAGGGCATTACACACACTGTTTTTTCTGCATCTTGCTTTCTTCTCTTAGTGCTCTATTCTTTCTGTGTTTGCACACCTTTAAGTCCTATTCCCACTTTTAAAAAATTTTATTTATTTACGTTCTACACCCAATGTGGGGCTCCAACTCAGGCTCTTCTGACGGAGCCAGCCAGGTGCCCCATATGCCCACTTTTTAAACAACTTTTTCTCTTGAAATAACTTAAGACTCACAAGCAGTTGCAAAAAACAGTACAATGGGTTTCTGGGTACCATCACCCAGCTTCTCTAGTGATACTATCTTAAATAATCATAGCACATTTTCAAAACCCAAAAACTCAACATTGGTCCAGTTGTATAATAGTATAACTAAACTACAGACTTAATTCCGATTTCATCAGTTTTTATATGTGCTTTCTTGTTTGTCCAGTTCCCATTTAACACCATTCTACTTGGCTGTCTGGGCCTTCTCCACCATGTTACAGGGTAGGGTAAATTGAGGGCCATGTGACATTATCACACTGGCCTTGTCACTTGCCCAAAGTGACTTGGCCTTATGTCTCCTACAGGTCTGCCACGCATTCCGTCCCAGCTGCCCTCACCCTCCTTGCTGGCCGCGGACACCTCCAGACATTTACCTAAATGTCACCCTCTCAGTAGGCCCTTTCCTGAGCAATTGTACAACATCTCACCCACATGCCAGCCCCCACACACTACCTTCTTCCTCACCTTCCCTGCTTTAGGTTTCTACAAAGCACAGATCATCACCCACCTAAGACACAGTGACCTACCTGTTCATTTGTCATTGCTTGCCTCCCCTCAGCTAGACTATCGGCTCCTTTAGGGCAGGCATTTTGACTCTTTTGCTCATGGTTTTATTCTCAACACTCAGAAAAGTACCAGGCACATAGTAGGCACTACTTGTTGAATGAATGAAGGGGTGACCAAAAAGTGCCTAGCACAGTTCCTGACACCCAACATGTGCACTAGAAATGGGAGCCATCGCTGCACTGCCGCTCTTGTATAAATTGAGACCAGCGATAACAACCACCAGGCTTGCAGTGAGATTTAAATTAAGCCATGCATGTGTAAGGGGTGATAGAAACTGTAAAGTGCCATGCAAATAGGGGCTGAGAATTATTATCACAAGACTGTTTGTTGATAATCTGGAGACTTGGTTCATTTTTTGGACCAGTCCCTGGGACTCAATGGAGCTCAGGGCCTATCACAGAGTAACTTCAAGCAGATTAGTGTGCCCGACAGGATGCAAAGCTTGCGCTCTGTGTTCTGCCCCACCAGATGCAAATGCTTGTGAAGGAGCACACACCGTCTGCACTTGCCCCAGGACCCTCTCTCTAAGCCAGCCTCTTCCTCTAGTCACTGCTGGCCCCAGGACATTTGCCATGCCCTCCCAGGCTCCAACTGTCGGGAGAGAAAATATTCCATTACTCTCCTCTGAAATGGACTTTCAAGGCCACAGGCAGTGTTGTGCCAATATGTTTAATATTGCTACAGTTAAAAAGAACAAAGTGAAGAAACTCTCCTGGGAAGTGGGCTTGCTTGGCAGCCAGGTCTTTATGGGGAGCAGTGTCCTGCTGGGGCTACCACATTCTGGGCTGTGATGCTCGGCATCTGAGTATATGGACAAACCCACTACTTGCTCTGATCTGTGAATCCACAGGGTTGTACCAAACTCCCAAGAAACCCATAGATGAATGTCGACGTACCAAGTTCCCTTCATCACACTGATGAGGGGAATGAGGAAAGGAAGAACACGTATGGAGAGGCTTCCCTGTAGCAGCAAAGAGATTTTCCCTGTGAGGTCACCAAGTCTTCTCACTTGAGGAAAGAGAATGATGAGGAAAGAGAAGACCCTCTCACTATCTATCACAGCTCATAAAGGAGAGTATCTGCATCAGAACTCTGATCTGCTTGCTCCCAGCATTCACTCTCAGCTGTATCTCATGGTCTCTGTTGATCACAGTCTCCTCCTTTAGAAAATGCTGCCTGAGGAGCTGGGTGAATGCAGAATCAGAGCAATATTTGTGCACAGGTTAAGACAGAATTAGGTTCTAATCCAAATTCTCAAAGGATTGGCGTGAAAAATAAATGAGAGACTGTGTCTCAAGATTCAGCCCAGGGCCTGATAAAGGGTGATGTCATTTATTTATTTTTTTAAAGATTTTATTTATTTGACAGAGAGACAGCAAGAGAGGGAACACAAGCAGGGGGAGTAGGAGAGGGAGAAGCAGGCTCCCCGCGGAGCAGGGAGCCCGATGCGGGGCTCGATCGCAGGACCCTGGGATCATGACCTGAGCCGAAGGCAGACGCTTAATGACTGGGCCACCCAGGCGCCCCTGATGTCATCATTTTTGATAGAGGCAGGTAACGCCAAGCAACAGCAGCTTGCTGCATCCCTCCACCAGCCACCCCCCTCCGCCCCCGCCAGAGTCTGGTGGCCCAAGCCTCCTCTACTCTGTCTACTCTGAGAAGCGTTGGCAATGCTCTGCTGGATTTTGTCTCTGTGATGTACCATTTGCTTTCACACTGAGGACAGTGCCACAAGCCACAAGCACGAGGCCACAATTCACTGGGGACACACCCTTTCCATCATGAGGTCTGTCTGTAGCCAGTGATTCTGAGGAAAAGGGAAGGTCAGAGCAGCTGCTTTCTATAAATGGATGATCTCAGTACATGTAGGTTTTTACTTGCTAATTTCCTCTCAGAAGTAGCTTCAATTTCACATTTTATGAGATACCGTGTGAAATCTTGTCATATCTACTGGGTAAAGATCTTTCCTGATGATCCCCAAACATTGCTTCCCTGTAGTTCACAGATAGGCTTTTGAGAAAAGGTGGGCAAAGTATTGGCACATGCAGGAGTCTTGATGTGTTGATTTGATAAATATTCATCGAGTGCCCATTTGGTGCCTTATGATTGCACAGCAACTCCTTCCTTTCAAGTTCCAATCCAGGATTATTTTATTTTCAGAAATACAACTTCCCTTACTATAACCTAGGGGGATTCATGTTTGCTAAATTGATAGGTGGTTGGTCTTTTAATTAACATAGATTCCTCCCTCCCATAGGAGACAGATGATACAGAAAAAACACTGCTTGGCCCTTTAAGTGTATCTATTCTTTTTGCCAAGTCCATTTTACAAGTAAGCCTTTAAAACGTTTATTGTAATAAACTGTATTATGGCTTTTAAGCAGCAATGAGCAAGGCCTGAGACTGGGGGAAAATCCAGTGACTAGCTAGTAAATTGTAGAGTTCCATATACTGTCAGAGGGAAATGACTATAGTCTCAGGGAGCAGGGCAAAGGAGGGAGGAAGAATGAGGGTGGGTGCACCTCACATCATCAACTGAAGTATAAAAATAGTAGGATGAGGGGCGCCTGGGTGGCTCAGTTGGTTAAGCGACTGCCTTCGGCTCAGGTCATGATCCTGGAGTCCCTGGATCGAGTCCCACATCGGGCTCCGTGCTCAGCAAGGAGTCTGCTTCTCCCTCTGACCCTCCCCCCTCTCAGGCTCTCATTCTCTCTCTCAAATAAATAAATAAAATCTTTAAAAAAAAAAAAGAAATAGTAGGATGAGCCTGCTTACCTCCCAGGGCTATTGTAAAGACTCGGGAAGTAACAGATGGCAAAGAGTGAACATAAAACACTCTATAAACTGGGTTTTCTATTCCCTGCTATAATTATGATGAGGAATGTTCAGGAGTTTTCTAGTGGACAACTATTGGTCTAATTTTTAATCTCTTGGGAAGAGCTGTCTTTGGAATAGGAAATACTGTTTTGCTAGCAGAGGCTCAGTTCTGCTGACATTTGACTGATCAGGTGGCAATGGGAGAGAACATGCTGTCCTCTCTCACCACCTAAAACCTAAAGGCTGTTTTAAGATGGCCTTTACAAGTCAGGCTTTGAAATGGAACCTTCATAATGGACATTGTTCCTATGGACAATTTCTCATGGAGCCTATAAAGCCAGACAAGAATGGTCATGGCACATTCCCCGCTGTGCCTCAGGTGTACTCCTATCTTCTCAGTTGCTGTTTCTGGGAATTTGGGCTACTGTGGGAAGAGGTGCTACCTCACCTGACTGCAGTTTGCCATGCAAAGGAGGGTGGACTCCAATAAGATGTCAACCAGAGCATGAGCTCCTCAGCACCCTGTCTTCCACTGTGCCCACACTTCCCTGCCTGTCCATCAGCCTGCAAGCCCCCTGGCCCAGCTCTGCCCCCACAGAGCTGCTCAGCATTCAGAGAGCCACACACAGCCAGCCAGCCCTCCCTCAGATTGATGCCGCATCAGGGTTGGGCTCCTAGGATTGGTGGAGCCCCTAGGATTGGTGGAGCCCCCTCTCCACCAGTCTCCAAATTGAGTACTTGTTTCCTGTCACTCTCCCATCCTTTTCTAGAGCCCTCCCAGATTGTTATCACTTCTCTTAAACCTGCCATCCACCTGTGCCTCCTTGACACCCAGAAGATAATCTCGCTTATTATCTCACAGAGAAGGGAGATGAGAACTGTCCCACCCGTCTATTCTATCAGCTCTCCCTCCAGCTCCCTGCTCTACCAGAGGCGCCATCCGGATCCCATTCACCCCTACACATCTTCCCAGGGGCTTCCTCCAGCCTCCCTCATGACAGATGGGCCTGAAAGGGCAGAAGGAAAAATATCTAGTATGTGAGAATTGTCAAGTTTCCAGCCAGGAAAGAACAATCCGCTCTGAAGGGCCACCCAACCCCGTCATTGTTTGATTTTAGAGTCTGCAGCGATACCCCATTGGCAAGACCAATTTCTGCACTAGTCAGGATCTTGTCATCTGTGTTAAAAAATGGACTCAAATGAGCATCGGCAAAAGGACATGTTTTGGTTTCAAGTGTTCAGTCCAGAGGTGAAGAGGCTTCTGGATCTGAGACTGTCAGGCCTTACAGTTTTCACCCTCCAGAAACCAGAAAGGTGGAGGCCGGCCCTATTCCGTGTATTAATTTATGCAAAGTGAGTATTTTCATTTACTTCTACAGGACAGTAAGACAAATTCACTTCCACATGCCCAAAGATGCAACAGAGGCTGTCACACAGCATTGGGAAGGGTGAAACCCTCTCTACACCAGGCAAGGGCAGTGGGGGGACAGAGATTCTGCAGTGCCAAGGGAACCTCACAGTGGGACTGTGAAGCCACTAGAAGAACAGCAAGAACTGCCACAGCTGTGGGGTTCTGGGGCCACCCAGCAACACTAAACGCCATGAGCCAGTCTACTGTGGGCAGGTGTCAGAAGAATGTTTGAAGCTAAGGAGCCCAAAAAGACTGCTGGCAAATGTCTTCTTCTTTTCCCCTGTAAGGCAATTAGAAAGCTTATCAGAGGAGGGTGAAAACAACAGATAAAACACTGAAGCAAAGAGGTGGCGCTAAAGCAAACAGGTCTGGGATTACCGAGAAAAAAAACCAGGCTTTGTTCCAGACAGAGGGGTGCCCCAGGCATTCCCTGGGAGCCTCAGAACTCTTGTTTGTCAAGTGGATTAAAGGCTATTTAGTCCAGGATCATGTGTTTACAGTTTAGAGCAACTACACAAAGACCCTGGAAGCCACTGCCTTCCTGACAGCACCCTTTGCGAAGTTGGTCCTTGCCTTCTTCTGAAGATAAGGTGGTGACAATAAGGCTTTGGTGACAGGTAGTTTGTTCCTTCTTTCTGGGGTGCTATTCAAAATGTTGAACAATCAGCGTGACTCAACCACTGAGCCACGAGTACAGTTGCCAGCAGTCTGTGTGGGGGACCCTGCTGTGCCAGGTGTTACCTCTTCCATTTCCAGGTCTGCTCAGGTGTGGAGGGGCCGAGATACTCTGCATGGCGCGTGGAGGCACTCCAGGGACTTAGGGCAGGGCCTTTTATCCTCCCGCACATCTGAAAGGCTGCACACCAGCATCACCAGCCCTGATGGTCTCTTGTCAAAGAGCACCTGCAAAGCAAATATGGCCACCAGCACGAGAGAAGAAAGTCACCAGCAGCCTTCAAAGTCTCCTTGTGACTAGTGCTGTCCAGAATCCCCTCAGGACAGAGGGCTAAGAGGCAGGAGTAGAGTGGAACCCACACATCAGGCCTCTTACAACTGCCTGCATGTACTGCCTCCCTGAGTTTTCATTGCAACCCTGCAAAACAGGCATTTTCACTTCCATTTTATTGGCGGGATAATTGAGGTTTAGAAGGATGAAGAAATCTTTCTAGGTTTTCCCAGTGGTGAGAAAGAGGCAGCATTTGAACCCAGGCCTGCTGACTCAGATGACGCTGCACCCCACATGCATGTACCCGAAGGGCCTGCAACAGCCAGATTCAAGTGAAAAGAAAGAAAGCACCATGGAGCTGGAGCACCAGGATGGCACTGCCACCTGGATGGGGCCTTCAGGCCAGGCTGTCCACTGCCCTCCTTCTCTCCCATCCTCCTCTCTTGGCAATGTGTGTGAACCTCCCATGACCTCTGGCATTAGGGAATTCCAACTGAGGCTAACCAGCCTAATAACTTAGGACACAGCCCACCTCTTTTCATTTTTATTTTTCAAACCACCCTCCTTTAATAGGTGTTCACTAGGAAAATAAATGCTTGTCACACATAGTTACTAATCTTTGCCATGGTGGGCAAGGTAAAAAGGAGCGTACTGCTAAATCCGTGTGATACCTAAGCAAGACGCCCACCCTCCCCAGGTCTTGTTACTAGGCAGCCAATGGCGCTGGAAATGGAGAAGAGGACGTAGGGGTCTCCATGCAGGAGAAGCAGTGCCCTGGCAATTAGTCATATGTGGACATAACCCTGAACAGACTGGCCAGCATCAGTGGCAGGTGTTTTAGATGGTGGTCAGGGCTTACCTTCTGGAAAAGTCTGGGCCTTCACTCCTCGAGGCCAGTGGCCTGCAAATCTCAAGGAAAGTAGGTTTGTTCTGCTACAGACCAAGAGGCTTAGGTCAGCAAGAAGGGAGCTTAGGTCAGCAAGCTGGGAGCGCAGAAGCTTGAAGCATTTTAACCCTTAACTCCTGATTGGAGTGCTGTTATAGTCTCAGATCCTCTTTGGCAAATGAGGGAGTCAGCTCCCTCTTGGGGTGGCAAGCTCAAATGCTTACAGGAGCCAGACAGGTAACGTAACAAGTGAAGAAAAGACCACTTCCCCAAGCAAATTTGCTTTCTCTCATTTTTCTTGAAATGGATATCGCCTCTAGTCTATTTCACTTTATTTCAATTTTGACAGATACCTATGTATAACAAATACATTTTTGATGACCTTAAAAATAAAAGTTATTTTACCAGCAAAAATGGGTTTATTCAAGAATAGCAGAGAACTGCAACGTGGGACAAGCAAGCTATGGCAAAAACCATAGGCTAGTCCAACAAAGGAAAGGAATGTTATTTTCTGGAGAAGGAAGAGGAAGTTGGGAGGGGTTGTTTTGAAGGAAAGTCCATTGGAGTAAAGCAAGAGTACGGGGCGATGACGGTTTCTCATTGGCCTTGTTGCTGAAGAGATGCAATGTACATTTCTTCCGTTGGTGCTCATAACTGATGATTCTTTCCTGTTGACAATTCTGCTGGGGTCTGAAGTGACAGTTTTTCCAGTAATTGATGCAGAGTGGTAGGGCTGGAGAGCTCCCCCTTCTGGTCTCCCAGCTCCATTTTAGTTAGATTTCCCTTTTATTACTCTTGTTTTTACTCTAAGAGGCAACTGGACGAATGTGATAAATGCCTGCTGCACTCAGCACAGATTTCAAAGAGAATAGGAATGGTGGACATTGTGCTGGCCCAGGAAGAAAACTCTCACCCCTGGATTTCATACTTATGCTCTTTCTAGAATGCTCTTCCCCCAGATATTCAGAGGCTTACTCCCTCACTGCAGGCCATAGCTCAGAATAGTTCTCTGCTTGCAACCTCTCCTTTCTTCCACACTGCTTTTTGCATTTCTTTTTTAATTTAAATTCAATTAGCTAACATTAGTTTCTGATGTAGTGTTCAATGATTCCTCAGCTGCATATAACACCCAGTGCTCATCACATCACATGCCCTTCTTAATGCCCATCACCCAGTTATCCCATCCTTGTACCCACCCACACTGCTTTTTATTCATAGCATTTACCACTACCTGATAATATTTTGTGTGTTTTTTTTAAAGATTTTTTATTTATTTATTTGACAGAGAGAGAGAGAGAGAGAGAGACAAGCAAGAGAGGGAACACAAGCAGGGGGAGTCGGAGAGGGAGAAGTAGGCTTCCAGCCGAGCAGGGAGCCTGATGCGGGGCTCGATCCCAGGACCCTGGGACCTGGGACCATGACCTGAGCCCAAGGCAGATGCTTAACAACTGAGCCACCCAGGCGTCCCATGTGTTTGTTTATCACCTGCCTTGTTCATGTGCAAGTGGACAAGTGCAAGTGCCATGAAGTAAAAACTGGACATATCTTTTTTTTTTAAGATTTTATTTATTTGAGAGAGAGAATGAGAGAGAGAGAGAGAGCACATGAGAGGGGGGAGGGTCAGAGGGAGAAGCAGACTCCCCGCTGAGCAGGGAGCCCGATGCGGGACTCAATCCCGGGACTCCAGGTTCATGACCTGAGCTGAAGGCAGTCGCCCAACCAACCGAGCCACCCAGGCGCCCAAAACTGGACATATCTTGATCACTACTGTAACCCCAGCACCAAGAAGAGTACTTAGCACATAGCAGGTACTCAACAAGTATTTTTTTTTTAAAGATTTATTTATTCGAGGGGGGGAGGGGCAGAGAGGGAGAGAGAGAATCTCAAGCAGACTCTCCACTGAGTGCAGAGCCTGACTTGGGGTTTTATCTCATGACCCTGAGATTACGACCTGAGCCAAAATCAAGAGTCGGATGCTTAATGGACTGAGACACCCAGGCGCCCCTCAACAAATATTTTAAATCAATGAATGAATGAATATTAACAAGTTACTTTTGGGGTGAAGGGGGGAACAGTGAGGGATGGAGGTTTCACTTTTCATTTTACACTTTCTGTACTATCTGAATTTTTCTAATCTCTTGCATATATTACTTTTTAAAAATATCAACATTGGGGGCACCTGGCTGGCTCAGTTGGTATAGCATGTGACTCTTCATCTTGGGGTCATGAATTTGAGCCCCATGTTGGGTGTAGAGATTACTTATATATATAGATTATTGGAAAGTGGGATTTGGGACCAAATTATTTTCTTTGCATGTTTCTATGCTTTTAAGAATGTTAATAAACAGTATTTTTAAAATGGGATAGTAGGACCTGCAGTTTAAATGCTGCCTTCTGGGGGCACCTGGCTGGCTCAGTCAGAACATATGATTCTTAATCTCAGGGTCATGAGTTTGAGCCCCACATTGAGCATGGAGCCTACTTAAAAAGTAAATAAATAAATGCTGTTTTCTGTCTTTCCAACAAAGTTCTTTATGCAGAACTATTTAAGAGAAGAATACTGGTGTCTATGTAAGTGTTTGGAACACTAGATAAGAGAGGGAGAAAATTGTGTTAAGGCATAATTAAAGCTTCCCACTGTCTTTTGCTACTGAGATGGCCAAAAGCATTTTAATTTTTTAAAGCTCATTGTAAACTCCTGTAGAAGGAGGACTACACATGGCCATGGCTTTTTGCAAATACTGGGTAGTCATAGCTAGGGGAGGGTATACTATTGGAACACAAAAAGGACTAGTTTTAGACAGGTGTTATGAACTGAATGTTTGTGTCTCTCCTCTTCCAATACATATTGAACTCCTATCCCCAAATATAACTATATTTGGAGACAGGGCCTTTGTGGAAGTAATTAAGATTAAATGAAGTCATGAGGATGGGAATTCCAAGGTGAGATTAATGCCTTTATAGAAGAGACACCAGAGAGCACCCCCTCTCTTTGAACAAGCACACAAAAAAAGAGATCATGTGAGCACAGAGCAAAAAGGCTGCTGTCTGCAAGCTAAGGGCAGAGGGTTTGGAATTGTGGAAGCCAAGGGCAGGCTGCCCCAAGATGGGATATTTTGGTACGTGGATTATTTTGAGCTGAAGGCAATTGAAACCCTGCGGGCTCAAGAGAAAATTTTGCCCCTACCTTAACTACATAGAAGAATCTAAATTGGTTCTTTCCTAGAATAAGGGTTATTAGCAAAGATAAGTTTTATTTGAGTGACCCATCTGTATAGCAGACCAAACTGCTAATTACCAAACATCTGCTCTGTTTTTTTTTTTAAATATTTTATTTATTTGATAGAGAGAGACACAGGGAGAGAGGGAACACAAGCAGGGGCAGTGGGAGAGGGAGAAGCAGGCTTCCCATGGAGCAGGGAGCCCGATGCGGGGCTCGATCCCAGGACCCTGGGAACATGACCTGAGCCAAAGGCAGACGCTTAACGACTAAGCCATCCAGGCACCCCTATCTGCTCTTCTTCTTACTGCCCTGTAAACTGTATTCCTTAAATCCCAGACCCCTACCCCTTCTCCTTAGTTCAGAATGCCATATATACCTCATTTTGCCCGCCTGTCTTTGGAATTTCCATGTCTATGCAGCTTTCCTATACATATGCTGTTAATTTTCTCCTGTTACTCTGTCTTGTGTCATTTGATTCTTAGTCCAGCTAGAAGGATTCTTGAAGGGGACAGGAATTCTTGCTCCCTCACAGGGATAAAATCCACCCTGCCAGCACCTTGATCTTGAACTTCTCAGCCTCCAGAACTGTGAAAAATAAATTCTTATTGTTTAAGCCTCCTAGTGTGTGGTATTTTGTTATGGCAGCCCAAGCAGATTAATATAATAGAAAGGAAAACAGTAAGTTCATTGTTAAGTTCCATTCATGCTTGAAGTAACTAACAACAAGTACACTATCCATAACATTCTGGGAGAAGTGAAAATGGTATTAGATCTATTATGTATTTATAAATATATTCTATTTATTGCACAATAAACATACCTAGGTTGAGGTGATATTTGAGGACATG